ATGAGAAAACGAATTCAACTACATACTTTCATGATCCGCGCATTAAAAGCCAAAGAACCGCCTATGTGTCGTCCGTCGCAGTTTTGGTCAATTCTGTATTAATTGATGTCATACGTTTGTGCTGTATATCTTTTGAAGATACTTTAAAAAGATCGATATTTCACATCGATTGCATAACATTCTCTCTATTTTTTTCTGTTTCTCATTCTTTTCTCCTTTTACGGTCACTCTTTCTCCCTTAGTTACTCCTTCCCTATCTCATCACGACGCTTTTCTTTTTACCCTTGTTTTCTCCTTTTACGGTCACTCTTTTTCCCTTAGTTACTCCTTCCCTATCTCATCACGACGTTTTTCTTTCTTCCTTTGTTTTCTTTTTCTTTGTCACGACAAAGATGGCAGCAAGCAACAAGTTTACAACTTCGAGCGAGTATTTACATCTTATTCAAAAATTTAATATTCCATATTTTCTTTTTGTAGGCATATTCTTCGTATACAAAATATCTAGAAAATGGACGCTTACGGCTTCATCACGTTGAAACGCCGGCTTAACTTCAGTGATCCGTACGAATACTGAAGTTAAGCAGCGTCGAGTCTGGTTAGTACCTAGATGGGTAACCGTTTGGGAATCACTAGGTGCTATAAGATTGGATGTGCGGGTGGTGTAATGGATAATGGCTCGGAATTGTTAATCGGAGTTCCAATTTCCGTTGGATTCGTTATATTCACTTACGCGCAAATACACTTGGGGAAGGTATGAATCCACTTCTTCTCTCCCCAGCTATGGATTAATTAGTAAGACTTGAATCACTAGAACTATTATTATCTAAAAAAACAAAACAAAATTCTTACAATCTAAAAATATTTCCTGGCTTTAAATAACCCGCAAAGGGTTGATAAACCGTAAAAAACGAATCAATCAATCTAGAAAATGTAAACATTTGTAGTCACTTGAATTTTTTTTTCACGCTTGTAGTAACATTTAACTAAAATTTATTTTGTTCAGACAATTCTCTGTAATTGCTATTTTATGATAATAGATTATATTAAAAAAAAAGCATTACAGAGTAAAAGACATAAAATGTCGATACATTTAAAAAAAAAATTCTTTAAGAGCTGAATCACCAGACTAAATTACACAATTGATTTTTATTATAGTGCTAAAGAACTCTAAGTTGTCACAATTTTGGAAAGAACACACGTTTTATCAACACGGCGTTTAGCTGTTCCAAAATAATGTCAAAGACTAAGAACAGAGCTGGTACTTGAATCTGATCCCTGCAGTGAAGATATGTTTTGAATTCAGAATTTCCCTTATCCTAAACTGGCTACCAACCATGGCAAGAGAGTCTAGTCTGCTCCGCTATTTAAACCATGACAGGAAGAACATGTATTCATATAAAGTATGCGAGGTGAAGGCCGACTTCAATTTTCGTGTCGATAACCCTCACGCTACTCACATACCTTGAATATATATACACTGCGTGCCAAATTATTATCGAGATAACTTTTTTCCTAATATTTCAGAAACCGTCCAATCAATTTACACAAAATTTTCACACAATGTTGACAACACTGACCTGCGCAATCACTGAAATTTTCGTACTGATCTGCAAAATGTAAACAAACTGGCGCCATATTAGGTATCAGCACGGTGATTTCAGCGTGCCAAATTATTAGAAAAGTGTAAGAATTTAGTGAATAGATGTACCGTAAAAGCAGTGTAAGTGATGCTGAAAGAAAACTATCACCTTAGAACTCTCAAAAGGTAAATCTACCCTAGAAATTTCTAAAATGATAGGGAGGTGTCATCAAACAGTGAAATAGTTCACCTCCGACCCTACACAAGTACACAAAAGGGCAGATAAAGGCAAGTCGAGGGTTATTTCACGTTGTCTCATGTCACGACTTATACGAGAGGCCACGAAGAACCCTGGACTTACCAGTCAAGAGCTTTTCAGTCGAATTGGGGATCCTACTGTGTCTAAAAGTACTAGGTGTCGTTGAGGGGAATATCAACAACAGTCAAACCTGTATCGAAGCCTCCGTTGACGAGAAATCACTTCCAAAATCGATTGAAATGGGTCGAGGACAATATGAAGATTGACTTCTCTAAAGTTTTGTTCACAGACGAAACTCGAGCAACACTTGATGAGCCAGATAGATGGTGCAAAGGCTGCTTTGGTCAGTCAAGTTTGGGCTTTGTTTCAGCAAGTCAATGCGAGGCCACACACTGCCAGGTTGACTAAGGAGAAATTCAAACAGATGGACGGTGTTGACATTCTTCCACATCCACTATTCAGTCATGTGACTGGTCTATTCCGCTCAATGGAACGCTTCCTCCGCAATCAGCGATTCAACACGTTTGATGAAGTGAAGGAAGCTTGTTTACAGTTTTTTTTTTTAATTCAAAGCCAGCGGACAGGTATCTGGGACAGATTCGGATGCTGGCTGATCGCTGACAGAAGAACGTCGAGAATGATGGACTTTATTTTGAAAAATAAATGTTGGCGTTGTTCCTTAAAATTTTCTTGTTTTCTTATTGCTTCCTAAGTGAATTTCTGCCTAACTCAATACTTACTAAAAAAAAGTTACTGACTTTATGCTATAAAACAAAAACTGAAACTTACTAAATTAAACACTTAATTTAGGATATTTTGTCGTAAACACCAGGCTCGGTTTACCAAAAGATTACCAAAAAAAGCACGTTTTATCTTGTTACATTTTTTAAAAGATATTGTAAATGCAAAGTAATATTATTTTATCTTGTCATATCTAACGAAAAAAAAAAAAAATAGAAATCCATAAAAATATTGTCGTTGAAAAAAATCTCATTTTTTTCCTATTGATGTAAATCTTTTTTTCTTTGATTTAAAACTCAGTTTGGTAAATTTATGAATTTAACAATGTATTTTAAATTCTTTTCAACACTGAATTTCTTTGAAAGGGGAAATTTAGCAAAGCGCAAAATTGCAAAATTTGGTTGACGGGCAAAAATTTAGTTATGCATATGTGAAAGCATGGGACTTTATGGAGCCACATGAAATATAATTAAAGAACATTTTTTAATGTAAGGGAAACATTAAATTCTTTTAGCTGTCGAGATGAAGCATAGAATGAAAAAGATTCACAGTAACTCCATTTCAGAGTTTTCGTTTTAAAAAATAAACTCAGAACATTAAATAGTTCAATGAATCTTTTAAGAAAGTTATCACTTCACAACAATCTTATTTCAGTAAGAAGCACTAATATTACGTGATCTGCATTTTTATCCTTATAAAAAGCTGTCTAAAACCACGATTATATTTAGCATTAGTTTTTCTAGTAATTACACTGTTAATTCCTTAAATATGTCATTTATAGCTAGGGAAAAATGTTTAGCAAATTTTCTCTTTGAATAAAGATACACATGCAGCATTTATAGATTGTCATCTGTCATTAATTTTAAAAAGTCATTTTTTTCTTTCTTATCGTTACAGAAGCGGCATTTGCAGCAAGTAATTCAATGTTTTTCATAGGTATTTTATTTTCATGAAATCGTTTGGAATCCTCTTATATATATTCTAGTTAGTACTGATGTCACAGATTCACAGAAAATCTAAAAGAAAACAGCCTGGTAAATATCTCTCATAAACAGCAAAAAAGAAAAAGGGATTCATTGTCTCTTACAGTAAGTAGATTCACCCATCTGCATTGTAAAATTTCTTTTATTCTAACAAGAATCTATTCTTCGATATTTCTACGCATTTCATCTATTCTACAGTAAATTGTTTTGTTCCTCAGTCTCATGCAACTGAGATCTTTATTATTTTCTTTTTTTTCAATAAGGTTTACCCTATACAAGGCCCGGTGACCACTCAAGGTAGAGGTTTACGTTAATTGGTAGTTTATATGGATAAGAGGAGAAGATAACGGTTAACTCTAAACTTGAACAGGTTGTAGTGATCGAGGGAACATCCTCTTGGGAGTCTGTTCCACAGTGCTGTGGTTCGCAGGAAGAAGCTGTTTGAGTGGATCTTACTTCTCACCAAGGGGATATGGAGGGAATGTGGGCGGTTTGCTACAATGTAAGTAGCATGGTGGGTCCTTGCCGTGGAGGTTAGACCTGGCGGAAATAAGGAATGAAGTTTGTCTGAACATTTTCCATGGTAGTAGTGATAGAGCAGTGATAGACTCGCCACATACCACCTGTGTGTGTGTGTGTGTGTGTGTGAGTGAGATAGAGAGAGATAGATAGATAGATAGAGAGGGAGAGAGAGAGAGAGAGAGAGAGAGATTGAAGGGTGGAAAATATTACTTTTTCAACAAGGACTTGAAGACGCTTTGAACTCTCTCAAGACTAGAAAGTGAGGACTGGTCAGTTCCCGCCCAAATATGGCAACAGTAATCCATTTTCGGCCTGATCTGGCTTTTATAAAGGTAGAGGATGACATGAGGAGTCAGTTGGTCTTTATTAGTTTTTTCTAGAACTCTTTTCAATAAAATTGAAATGAATGAAATCCTCAACCATCGAATGATTCGTCCCTGTTTTTACTATAAATAGAAAGATTTCATAACTAGCTTTAATATTATTGGTTACAGTTCGCCCAAAAAATATTGAATTGATTGTTGGTCTATTTTCAAATCTCCCTTCATAGCGATAAAAACTATATTTCGAATCGACCCTGTCTCTGATTCCTTGGTTAGTTTAGTAGCACATCAATTCCTTATAGTTCATTTAATGCCAAAATGTAATTTTCTTGGAAACATTAGTAATTCTCTTTACAAAAAGCATTGCTGGTAATATATTTTCTGGTATTTTAACTATAAAAATATATTCTTATACTTTCATTGTGTTTTGACCCCATTTTTCGGGTTAACTATTTGCCTGTAGCTGGGACCCTAACGGGTGCTACCACTCCGGGTTAGGGTGGACCTAGGAACAACAGCAATTAAGAAGTGCTTCCATACTTCTCAAAACCTCCAATCTTCCCATCAGAGGCCTTGCTGCCGGATGTAGTTTATCGTCATACATAGGACGGATTCCTTTGTCAAACATTTGAAGTGGTATTTATTTAGCCTTTCACCTCAAGAAAGGCTATAAAACCACTAAGACGCAAGAGGTTAGAGAATATGAGAAAACACTATTAAGTATAGAGAACAACAAAAAAAAAAGAACAGGAATTAAGAAGACAGAAGATAACAATTGACGTTGATTTTACATTTTTGAAGATTAAAGTTGACTGGGAAGCAAGAAGCCGAAAGAGATTTCCACAAACGAGAAGTGCGAGAGAAGAAACTGTTAACGAATGACTTATGGTTACATCTTGCCAGTTTAACTATAAAAGGACGAGACCTTGACATCAATCTACTACTGCGCTTAAATTCATAAAGTCTAGGTACCATAGAGGAAAGTTCTTCAGAATAATTACCATGAAAGTAATTATAGAA